TGGACGCTTACATTTTAACACAGCGAGGGCGTCCTGGCACAGCAGGTGGAACCTGGAAGGAACTCTGCACGTGCACTCGACGCGGCAACCCTTCCCTTCCGTGTCCGGCAGCACGATCGTAACCCTGTTGGCGTACTGGCTCTTGCCGTGCTCCTGGACGAGGAAGTTGCCCAAGCCCAGGGGCTTGACGTGCTTGCTGCCGACGAGTGGGGCAAACGCCGTCAAGAACCGAAGAAGGAAGGGAACAAAGCGGACGAAAACTGAGTTTGTGTCGTCGATGAAAGACAGGTGTCATCCTCTGGTTGTACAGTGTGCACCATACACAAAACGACAGCCAAAACCGAATAAACTAGATGAACNCCATCCTCTGGTTGTACAGTGTGCAACATTCACAAACGACAGCTAAAACCGAATAAACTACATGAACTATGAAGTCAAGAAGACAAGGGCCACAAGAGAAAAAAAGCACGGGTGGATCACATGTATTTTGCAAAAATAACAGGAGGGAATCGTACTGTACACCCAACCACGCCCGCAGAATGAAGGCAGGCGTGGTTCCCAANCGAATAAACTAGATGAACTATGAAGTCAAGAAGACAAGGGCCACAAGAGAAAAAAAGCACGGGTGGATCACATGTATTTTGCAAAAATAACAGGAGGGAATCGTACTGTACACCCAACCACGCCCGCAGAATCAAGGCAGGCGTGGTTCCCAAAACTTACTTAAGACGAGCAGCCTCTCGTTCTCCATGAACTTGGCTGCGAATGGAACGAGTAGATCAGGGCTGTTCTTCTTCAGTTCGGCACTCGTCGCGAGTTTCTCCGCAGTCATCTCCGCAATCCTCATGTTGAGATGGTAGGGGTCCATTTGCCGTACCTGCGAGCAACAAACGTGAACAATGGAAGAGAGACACGTCGAAGCTTCAGACACTAATCACTTAAAAGAAAAGAAAAAAAAACAGTTGTCGCAGACACCGGTACCGAGGGAAGCGAGTGACAACACGCTGACAAGTGGCCGTTGAAGAATGAGGACGGCTGCATTGCGGGCATTAGAAATGGGTGAGAGTACGTGTGTGTGTCTTCACGTGTAGCATCGACCCCGCAGTCTTTACAAAGGCCTTCATCTGAGAACCTTACACACGGGCGACATGGGAGAGGCTAGAACATTCTCCGGATGGGATTGAAGACAGAACTGACAGTAGAAGAGATGAACTCATCTCCCAAGGCATGTATAGCAGCGAAGGATGGTACCGAGCAACTTCGTGAAGGATTTTTTTTCACGTTGGATCGACCCACTGCAAAGGGTAGCACCCACTGCGTACCACTAGCCACCAACATGTACGACACATGATTACATGAAGGGCCTTATATGAATTTATGTACCTGTGAACACCATACGTGAAAACGGGTGTCAAAATGAAGAAATAACTCACAGGAGCATCACGCATCTATGAACAATAGCGATAGGAATAGCAAGAGAGAAACCCAAACTCGAAATTCGTGGTGGCTGTCGGGGTCTCCACATAACGCTGGCGGGGTGAGCAGCCCACGCAGGAATCGATATCTGCCACTTGACGCTGAGCGAGAGGACAACCTCACGCACCATCTACCATCTTTGAAAACACCATAAAAAAGGGTACAGTGCGTCAATTCGGACCTTGCCGACCTTCTGAACAAAACACCTTTTCATTCACCAACCTCTTGGCCAACCGCTGCAAGGTTGGACTCCGCGGAGTTGGAGGTGGACATTTTGAGGGTGACGTTCTTGCTCGGGGTGGCATGGTGTGTCCATTCCTCGAGGGGTTGGTTCATGAAGTAGGCGTAGTTCATCGGGAAGTCCTTCTTGACTGGCTCCATGGCCTCATCGAACAGGGCCCTACACGCGATGTACAGAAGCCGCATTACAATACGGGGACCCCTCACGTCACCAGAACATATGTGATCGGCTCAAACCACGGGTGAAGCGTCCTCACAAGTAGCACACGACGTGTCCCCCATATACTGTACATGCGGTTTGCGGGAGGTGGGCTCTAATCCCAACGAGGCAGTAGCGAAAAAGGATTTTTCGGCTCTCTCGGGGGGGTGATGGTGATGGTTCTAGTTGGAGTATGTACTCTACATGTAGTTGGGCGAGTGCTTCATCGTGTGCACCTGGCCTCCAGCAGCAGCGAAATGTGCTATTGGCTGCCGAATACTCCACAGAATGTCGAGGGGTTGCGATGCGCCACGACGTGCTGCTAAGCTCACAATCATCTCATTTGGAACAACACAAGACAAAGGACACTGCTTTTCCCCGATTTCTACTCACTTTTCCCATTGCCTTCAGCTTCTTGTTGGTGACGAGGTGCCTCACGCACGTACGCCACGGCGCTATCGGTAGAACCGCATCGAGGGCCGCCCGAGATCCTTTGTGGCCGTGCATGTAGAACGTGACCTTGCCTGAGGAAAGGATTCGCCGCATGTGCTCGTTCCGGAGGGTGTGCTCAAGCAGGAACTTGTAGTTCGTCGAGTTCTCCTTGTCTGCGATGACAGTGCTGACGTGGATGATTTGGTTGTTGCTGTCGTGCATGCAGAGGACGTACATGACTCCCCTCCACGCACCCTTGAGATGGCCAGCGTCCATGGCCACTATCTGTGCAGAAAGGCGCAGATAAATTGGGTATTTCGTGAGGGCAAAGGCCAAACGGTTGGAAGTGCTCGTAGATCTCGTATGACTCTGGTTGTATTGATGCCAAAATGTTGTTTGGGATGCCCGCCCCCCTTAACCCCGCCATCAGCTGTTTTGGACGCGGGCACCTTCAAACGGCGAAATAATGCAGACAAATGCGCTGGAGCAACATGCCATTATAAGACGTAGTCAGGGCTTCATGGAAGGCCCTTCATGGTAAGGGCAGGTAGGAAGTCAACAAATAGGAAAGGATGAGAGCTACAGTACAAATATTAGCAAACAGGTGCATAACATGTTCAGAAGGGAACAGTCCTTGCTCACCATCCCGCGCACACATGGCTCGTTCGAACAAGTTTGGGTACACACTAGATCAGGAACATGAACCCTTGCAAAGTCGGCGACAGCATTGTCGTTGTCAGGGAGGTACTACAGCAGTGGGGTTCCCTCTATAGTGCGGGTGCCCGCTATATTGTGGGTGTACGCGCTTGGCACATACCCGCACTATAGAGGGACCCCCACTGCTGTGCAGCAGCAGTGAAGAGGAGCAGCCCTTTGGTTTGTTTGGCAACACACTGGAGTACACGCTAAAACACAGAGATATTGCCCGTTCGAGATAAAAAGCGAGCAATCCATAAAGTGTTCGGCCCCACGTCTCACGTAGCGCACACACACGTCGCACACACATCATCACCACGAGCAATGGGTACTGCTGTCCCCATCATACAAGTACAAGTACACACACGCTACATACACGCGACCTGGCATGGCGACCAAAATTCAAGCCGGCCCACAAGTGTAAAGCTGAGGAGCAACTGCTATTGGCTCTGACCTCTGACCGCTTGGCATGAGCCTAAATTGACCTCAGAGTTGCATTACAATACAACACGCAGTGAGAGACATTGCTGGTGAGCTCAATTTTGTGTGGCTGAAAAGCGAGGGCGCACCCGATTGTTCCCTTAAAATGAGAAGGGCGAAATGAAGAGCACGGCTGCCTGCGCTCACCTCGCTTCGGGTGTAAGAACAACACTGCTTATGCCTCCCGCACGTTCGTTGATCGACAACTTGGGGGCAATGGATGGCAGAAAATTATGTAGAGAGTTCAGAGATGATGTGTGGTACCGTTACACACGAGACCGCATCGACGTGACCTACGTATTGTTTGTTACTATTTCAGTGGCTCTCCACGGCTTTCAATGGCTCTCCACGGACGGCTTGAATCATTCCCAAAAGCAATCGGTAAATCTCAGCAAACATGAAAAGCCAGCAACCCCAAGAGATCCAACCCCAAGAGATCCACTCGCCTTGGGGACGCTGTGCGCGGCGACGAAGGCGGCGTTGCCCAGCATCAGGAAGCTTCTCACGAACCGCTTGTCGCGGCTCATCTAAAACCAGCACACATCACACAAGGGATAACCACGGGAAGGAAGGTCAGGACCCGAACGACACACGAAAGAAGCATAGACTGTGCACGTTGCACACAAATCATGTGTGGTGAGATCGAGATGGAGACGAGAAGTAACAAGCTACCGTCATTCCTCACAGCTGTGTACAGAACCTACGGTAACGTGACGGCCCAAACAACGTGCTACATGTGGCACTGCTGTTGTCTACATGTAGTCCTCATCCAACCTTGCACTGCTGCATGACGTGAACATCGACTGAGGGCCCAGATCCCAACTCTTCTTACCTCGACCGTGGCAACGGAACCCGGGCTATCGCGCTCGATCCCTTCGAAAAATGATGGAATACGCGCAATGGCAGCCGCTTCATCCTCCCTCGTAGAGGTAGCGATGCGCTTCTTGGCTCTCCTGGGACGTACGATCGGAGACGGCGAAGCCCACGGTTTCGAGGGTTCGCTTGATGGCGGGACCGCCGATCTTGGGGTTGGCACGTGCAAGTTGGTCCACCAGGGGCTGCACCACTGCGGAGCTAGTGCGCCCGCCCCCACCGCAGTCGACGTGGGAGCTCTCTACCTTCGTGATCTTGAAGTCGCCGTTCCTCTGTTGGCAACCCTTCACGGACCAACTTGTGCAAGTCTTGCACACAAGGTGGATCTGTCGGCTGCCAGCACCGCTTCCATTCTTCATGGCTCGCCCTTGGGCGGCAAGCTCAGCTGCTACCGCCACCCTAAGCGCCTTGCGGCTGGGGAATGTTTGCTGTTCCGTAACGGGCACTACCTAGTAGACAAGCCGGCCGCCGAAGCTCCGGCGCCGCCACTCGCTCCTTCCATGATTGTGTCCTGCTGCTGCTCAATTTGTGCGCGTGCTACTACAGCAGTACCCTTCCTGCCCTCCCTCCTCTCTCTGCGGCGGCGAGTTCGCGACCACGACAACACCACCCGTTTGCACATGCGTGCAACTCAACCATGCCGGATCGGTCTGGCGTTCTTGGCGTGACCCGTAATCTCGCATATAGACTATAATAGAGTACAGCAAGCAGTATTCCTCGGGGTATTGTCCATGTGCATATATATGCACAGCATATAGAGTAGAGACTGGTGTCGACTGCTTTCCGAACGGCGTTGTGTTCGCCAGCCATGGTTGACTGAGAGCGGGAAGAGTTGAGGTTGGTGTTGTTTCGCAGGGGCGGAAACTGATTCCTGCTCCGTTTTCATGGTTGTTTTCGGGCGGGAAGACTCGCCGTATGGTATCTCATGGTTGAGGGACAAAAGGATTTGGGAAGATTCCTGCGAAGGAAATGGTTGATGGAAGGGTCTCATTTCCCGTCAGTCCAGGGTACATTTC